GCTTACACTGGTGCAAAGTACTTCAGTAGACTACCAGCTGAAGTAAGGCAGATTCAAACTTTAAAACACTTCAAGGCAGCTTTAAAGACGACCTCTGACCTCCAATCATTTTGAACGGAAATCGATTTACGTTGATTATGATTATGATTTGAAGTTATGTTTTCTTGTAAATTCCCTCAGTTCATGTTGAACTTCGTATTATTCATTTATTTATGTATAACTTCCAGTTATATTGATTTCATTTACATCTTCTGTTTTGTACTTTGTATAATTTATTATTCTTTTACTTTTTGTACCCCCCTGGGCCTCCTTGGAAATCAGTCTTGGCTGAAGGAGCTACCCAGGTGTCTTTGAAGATTAAATAAATAAATGCACTAATTCAATGTGAAAGTAAAGTAAGATAAGTACTAATTGAAACAATCCTTCTCAATAGCTGAATACAGCCGCTTGATAATGTAATAATTGTTGACACAATGTCATGCTTGCTACATAAAACCATAGCAGTGACAGCTATTTTAGATGACATGAGTGTGTAACCCGATTTAGTGATCAAGGAAAACTACTTCCATTTACTGGTAGGCTATTACTTTCCAACCGTTAAACGTTTTCCACTCAAATCTAATCACTGTGACTACAACAATCTTCCTGTTCAAGTTCACGAAATGTTTACTGATATGAAGGCTCACAGGTCTATCTGAAAGTCTTTTCCAAAATAGTATGAGATGCAAACAGCACAATAGAAAGTGTTTTTAGTTTCGATACTAATGCTTTCTGTTCCGTGTGCTAATGTTTTCTGTTCCGTGTGCTAGATGACACACGGAGGCCTGGACTCTGACGGTACAGTATTAAATGTCGCTAGACTTCGCTTAAGATTACAAAATGTGTTGACTGAATGAACGAAGGAGTTTTTTTGTGGAGGAGGTTATTTACCAAAATTGTTGTACAAGTTGCCATACGTTGTATCATATATATGCACAATTGTTGAGCAATAATCAGTTATCATTATATTCTTACAAATTTGTATGAAGCCACTTCGAGTTTCCAAGGACATTACACATGGCGTTACCAGTTATAAAAGGTCACCAAGTTTCGTAAACATTACATAACCGTTGGATTCCGAGAAAAAGCAATTAAATCAACCTCGTCTGCCAAACATAAAAGTAACGTACATGTAACTGCTAGCTTTGATTTCGTCCGCGAATGCCAAAATGAAAACACCGCTGTGTCTTTACTCCTGCTAACTAGTCTACGCTGAGTGTTTCATCTCAAAGAACAAGCTGCAGGTTATATTACTTGGTTTATATCAATCTGTCATCGTGGCAATGCGACGTCCTTAACGTAACGTAACACCTTCAGGGTATTTTTAAAAAATTTTTTCAGGGAAAATGAAACAGATTGTTCACACAATAATACAACATAGCCGACAGCAACGCATATGTACACTGATATGTTTCTTAAAAGTCACAGAAAAGCTAGCGTCGAATTCGTGACTTACATTGTTTATCAATATGAACTTTTTGTCAGTTTTTCCATGTTTTTAATCAGTTGTCCATAGTTTTTAAAGAAATCATATGGATCACATGTAGCTAATCACATGTACCAGCTGCATGCCGAAATGGAAAAGCCAATGAGGCTAGAAAAGGTATTCAACGTCAAAACAAGACATGTTATACACAGCGTTACATAGACAACTGAAGTTGAGTAAACAGCCGGACCGGTCTTTAAAGTTTATCAAACGGGTTTGAGTAAAAGCAGAAACTCATTCAAATCAAACTCGTCTGGTACAGCTGAAAGAAGCGCGGTGCCTTCATGAAAATGCTCTCTCTGAAATCGATATCATGAGAACTCTGTGTTTTCTTCTTACCTTCTCCAAGAAAGTCATGTTTTCAGTAGCGTTTGTCTGTCTGTCTGTCTGTGAACGGCAAACCTAAAGAAGCTTCATGTCCATTTTAATGCAACTTTGTACGTGGGTAGATCTTGATGAGACCTAGAAATGGTTAGATTTTGGGCCCTCTGGTGGCTTTCGTTGGTACATCCGGTTTTGATATCTCATGATCTGGACAGGCTAGGGTCACGAATTTTACATGGTAGATATAGCTCTTGGGCTTGGAAACAAGTGACATGAGTTTGGGCCTCCTAGCAGCTTGTTCTGGAACTGCAAGGTATTTTTTTATGAATATTTTGTTATCCAACATTTTCAGTTTTGCCTTCGAAATCTAATATAACCAACTAAACAAACAAAAATCTGTTCCCCTTTTCAATGTCTGAATCCATCGTTACTCCTTTAGTTCAGTCCTGTTTGACTCTGCAATTTGCATTAGGCCACAGCAAGTAAACTTCTTCAATACACATTTTCGGCATGTTGGCCATTGTCGAGAGGCAACAAATTTTCTTCTTTTTATTTTCAAAATCAGGCAAAGATTTATGTGCGCGCTGATGTCATCCATAAAACTTCCTTGCTGTGGCCTTATGAATGACCTTATAAGCTACAGAGAATGCAATAAGAATAACCATGCTTATTGTCATACAGCCCAAGATTGGTCTATTTAGCTGGTGGGCGTGTAAGTTGCCACGTAATTTTACATTAGTCTCGGGCTATATTTTTAAAGCTATTTATGCAGACACGCGCAGACTTTAGACCAGTGTGCACAACATTTCCTATAGCGGGAAAGACTGGCCACATCGGCTGGTACATGGAGGCAAAAGGTAAGGTATTTCATGATTCTTCCCCATTCTGTGATAATCTATGATATGTGTTAAATCGGTCATAAAATCGAGCTTTAGTGGCGAATTTTCCAACAATAGTTTCAAACAATTCTTGCTTTTCTGTCCATGTTTCTTTTTTTGCTGAATTTAAGTTAAGAAGAAATCTATCTGGACACGCCCACAACTGGCAACTTCAGGCTCCCTATATTGGTATAGTTTCTTAGTGTTAACAATAGCAAGTGCAACGTAGCTTGTTCTATACGTTGTTTGCTAATTGCGAGAATTAAATACAGCATTTGCAGAATGAACCAGTATACTAGTGTTTCTATTAGTGTACCTAATCATAAAGACCACACCATGTAACGATGGTGTAAAATCAGTCAATGATGTTTGGATGTGTACTTTAACATACAATAAAAATTGTGTGTTACCTGTTCACTGTGTGCTACCGATCAAATTGGCCACGTGAGTTACCATGTGCCCCCGAATGAATCTGCTTTTATTATTGTGATTATTAGTGCACCCAATCATACAGGACTACTATACCATGTAATGCTACTACAATGTACATGTAAACCAGCCAATGATGTTTGGATATGTATTAATTGTGTGTTGTTGTATTTCGGCACAGAAATGTCGGCAACCGAAAAAAAGCTCCCTCCGGACGGAGGGGACAAAAAGGGGGCGCCCGTGGACATCAGTAGGCTCAGCTCGGGGCGTCTGCACCCTGTGCCCGATGAATGTTTGGGTTACGAAGAAGAGTCTGTCTACGACTACGGCATTCCTGAAGATGTGCGCGGATACGAAGAAGACGGCTCTGTCCACGACAAACCACGGGCTGCTGGCGGAAAGAAAACTCCCGGCGAGGAAGAAAGCTTTGCCTACAAGGCTAAAGGTACGTCTGCACACTCACAAATCAGGGACCAGTCAGTACTGCTACAGGGCCAGGAAGTGGCCAAGCAATATTAGATGGAAAAGGCATGAGACCTCGGAACTCTGTCACATGCAGCCGAATATATGGACTCCCCAAAATAGGCTAACTCTCCTTAACAATACTTAGAAAGTCGGGAGCAAGGTCGGCTGTGGTTGGCCTGTGGTTGGCCGGTGTTCGGCAACATTCGGGTGCATGTGGCCGGGAGTTTTGGCCATGTATGACTGATGTTCGGGAGTCAAATTAGACTGAAATTTAACTCAAAATTGTTTCGTATAGAAAGGTAGGCGTGGTCCAAGTCTGATCGCGGACTGCTCCCAAACTTCAACGGTTGGTTGGTTGGTGGTTGGGGGAAGGTTCTGAATGCTTCACAGGGGATTTACAATTACACGTTTTCAGGTAAAAAAAACGGATTGATACTTTGTATTAACATGGCATGCGCCCGACTTGTGCTTCAAATCTTGTAAGTTTTGTGGACCCCTTAAAGATTTTGTTTAAAATTTGCATTTGTAGGTCCTGTAACATGATAATTCAAAAGCAATAGACGTTAACAATCGGTGCACATGTCTGAATGTCTAGAAAATTCTGTAATAAATAAAGTATAATACTAGGCATCATGCTATATTCATTACAGAATGTTATTAATTCTTGTGACGGGGATAATTTTTTGGTTCTTAATTTATGCAAGACGTAGTATTACGTACGCATATCATGTATAAGAATACAATATTTTTTTTGTATATTTATATGCATTTCAGTTTACGTGACTGTGTATACATAATCTTTGATTCGCATAGGAAAGTTTGATTTCTTGTTACATTCGGTTCCGAGAGGAATACTAAAGGTTTTTTTTTTAATTCACGACTGTTTGTGCTGTGCTGTGTGTTTGTGTTGTGTTTGTGTGTGTGTGCTGTGTGTGTTTGTGTGCGCTGCGTGTGTGGTGTCTGTGCTTGTGTTTGTGGTTTTGAGGTAGTTTCTAAGGGTTATATAGGCTTGGGGCCATATGTAGGTGGTATATAGATATGCCTTGCAAATATAAAGGAGACCCCCTCATCCTCACCCCAGCCGGTTTCCTTGGTACTGCAGCTGAACGCCTGTCTCTGCCTTTTCCCTTCTCTCTCTACAAAAATATATTATGTTAGAGATATTGTATGGTCTTAATTTTCGGTTGGCAGTTAGCCGTTGAGGTCAGAAAGAACTGATGTAGGTTTGGGTGTCCCTACAGCTTGTTACTCCGTGAAGGCGGTCAGGACCTCCGGACGGAGTGTTGTGATCGGCTGATTTTTCGTGTTCGCAGTCAAAACACTGGGTTCTCTTTGTGTAATCGGCACGCAATTTTATACGCCGTCTGCGGGCATGCCCGTGTTGATGCACGAATGTGTATTTTTGCCGTTGCAGCTTTCGCGGTCAATGTAATATTGCAGACGCACCCCTACAATTACGAGGCGAATTGGAATGGTCCAGAAAAACGCGTTGTTTGGAATAGCAGTGGGGGGGGGTGGAACTTCATGCAGATACGGGGTGGTTTTGATAAGTGGTTCCAGATGTTTTTGCCCATGGTTAAGAGATGCCAAGTTTTTTGGAAGATGTTCGCAGCCAAAACGCATTCTTCCGTACGTCGCATTTTTGAGTAATTTCGCATGTGGTGTGGCATTATGTCCGGGATGATGCACGTCTTTTTATTTTTACCGTAGCTGTTTTGATATTGGAGTAAATGCTTATTTTCGAAACATCCCCATGTCGTTGAAATGTTGTCGTCCGTTTATGTCACCGGTAGTAAGTCGCGGCGGGGCTGATATCATGATGGGGACGGAAATGTGGGGTGGTCAGAGGTCAACATTAGGAAATGTTAATACCGATGACGTGATCCTATCGATTTCAAACTGGTCGGGTGTGGCGACCTAGTGGCGGCGTGTATTTAGTCACGTAGCAACTGGCCGGTCGTCCTAGCAACGACACATGGCCAATATTTTTGGGTTGGGCCGCTCCATAGTGTTAGTGGAGCAGCTCTTTGTAAACATGGACAATATTTTTGAGCAACCCATCAATGTGTTCTGCCTCGTGGTCGGATGTGGTCTGGGGCTGGTAAACCGCACATACAGTACTAGTAGATCGGGTAATTTTATGATTTGCTAGTTGTAAAGGCGTCGTGTAGTATGAGCCGGTATATGAAGAAGTAGCCTGTGTTAAACAATCATGCTTTCGGCCGGATTGATGTGCAACTGTTACTAATTATAGGGACTGCGCTAATGCCGACCAGTCGCGCTGTCCTGATACACCGCGAATGTGCGAGTGTTCCCTGTAGACAGTCCCGGGAGTCATTTTTTTCGCACATTCCAGGAGCCAAACCAAAATACGTTCATGAACCGAGTCCAAAAAACCGAAACGTGAAAATCGGATGATCGGACCTGATGTACATTTCTCTTTCTGTAGATTGTACACACAATACACACATCTTTAGATAATATGGCCATGGCAGGTAAAAAAAAGTAACCCTGAATCATACTAGATTAGCGTAAATGCATGTTTATGCGTTCAAAACAAGAAAAGAATTTGTTTCCCGGTATTAATCTCTTGAAACACGGCGCTGAATATTGACGCAAAACTATTTCGGGCATCGCGCGCCCTTCCCCGTTGTTTAGACTGTGTGCAAATCCCGCGTCACGTGTCGGCATTTCGCATCTCTGATTGGTTGTTGCGTCTTAAGATGACTGAGCCGACGCGCGTTTAAACAATTTTTCATCGTTCGATTTATCACACTTCACAGAGAATTGTCGCCAATGGCTACTTCTTTTTGTTGCAATATATAATACTTCACGGAGAATTGTCGCCTATGGCTTCTTGTTTTCTTTTGTGTTTAGCTCGTGCCATTGGCCTGTGGACTAGGGTGATATCCAGTACAGTGATCGTGCCTGCAGTGGGTTGTGGGATCGTGGTGATAGCGTCAGCTATCGCCGCTATAATCCTGGCGACTCATCTCGACCTTGTGAAAACTGAGGTAGGCCAGGAGGGTTTTATCCATTTCCTGTAATTATCATCTCCAAACCTAGACAATGCACAACATTTCCACGGTACCTTTCCGCGGAAAGATATTGCTGTAAACCGGCATCTATCGTAGCTTTATTCGACCAAACGACTTTGTAACATTCATTAAGCCGGTGTCACATTTGTTGGTAACCGCCAGCTAGCTTTTCAAATCGCCAGAGTCGAAAAAAAATCTCCTGAGCTCTCTTCTCCAAGCAGACTCCGTAGGGCTTAAGAGGAGTCTATATTGGCCGGCTGTATCCACTGAATACAGGCTGTGGATGGGATAAGGGGGGGTCCAATGGATACAGGCGGCGAGTATAGACTCCCCTTGCCGCATGGAATCTGCTTGAAGATTACTTTCTTTGAGCTCGTCCTGCTTTGAGACGCCGGTGTAGGACTGTAGTAATGATGTGGAGGGATTTGCTTTACAAATTCAGTACGAAACGATTTGACCTTGTACGTAATGGTGAACCTCAATGGTGATTCTAAATCTAGACGGGGTCGGCCCTATGTTACGACAGCCCTATGTTACGACAGCCCTATATTACGACAGCCCTATATTACGACAGCCCTATGTTTTGACGCCCCCCTTTTTCAACGCGATTATGGCTATGTTCAGACACCAAATGATAAATTGTAAATGTATGGAGTGTAATGATCTCGAAGAAAATTTTCACGTAATAAATTGTCACTGACAGTGTTTCCGCCAGACTGCAGCAGAGATCCTGAGAGGCCGTCCAGTTGGGAAGGGCCGGGTCGCGAAAATTACTTAACTAAGGGAACACGTCGCGAAAATTAATTGAGGGGGCGGGGCATTAGTTTACACTTGTTAACAAGTTGAAACTGTCCACAAGCATTCCACATTTTTTTACAAGTGTTGACATTAAAAAAAAAAACACTGCTACAAATGGCAAACGTATCGCCAGTAATACTTAATTAGGACATTCTGCTGCAAAACTCCGAACATCGGCATCATTTAATTGTAACCTCCAGTAGCGCCTGCGATAGCCGGATTTTAATAGTGAAGAGCCTTGCTTCGTCCGTACTTCTTCCGTACTAGCAACATTTCCGCTGTAAAGAAGCGTCATCTTATCTCTCATACACGAGACAAATTTTGAAAATAACTTGGCTGTATCGTAGCTTTCATTGCTGTTTTATTCAACAAAAGTGCTCCTTGGTTGTAAAATGATCTCTTGTCTCCAGTACAGTGTCAAATGGTAGCGTGATCGTAGCGTGCGAAAAATCGGCGTTTAACCTAATGCTATCTACATGTAAGTAGTGAGTCTGACTGGGGGTTCAATGTCATTTTATTAGTATATCAACTATACAACAATAAAAGACCGTCTAATTTTCTCCACAGGAGAAATAAATGTGTACATATATGTATATGTAGAATATATACAATCGTTAGTTAAAGCGCTGACGTATTCATTACAGGATGTGGGTGGGCGGGTTTTAGCGGCCGCACCCGAGAAACGCAGGGTCTGAGTGACTACACTGGCCACGCCGGCCAGCATCTGTTGTAGATTACACAGAGTAGTGTCGCTTGTCCCCCCTCGTATGGGGGGACCGTTCGTTAGCTATGCTAAACAACAAATAAAGTACTAGTAATTCTTTATTTTAGTCTTTAACCTAATGCTATCTACATGTAAGTAGTGAGTCTGACTGGGGGTTCAATGTCATTTTATTAGTATATCAACTATACAACAATAAAAGACCGTCTAATTTTCTCCAATCCCCCCAGTCAGAAGAACAAGTTTGATAGTGGTAGAATATGCAATAAGAGTATTAAACAATGCAATAAGAGTGAAGTAACCGCTAAGTAGCCAGGGGTGTTATTTCAAGAAAGTGTTGGGATTCAACTTTAGCCCAGATTTTCTAATGCTCCCATGTCTTAGGAATAGATTTATGCAAAAAAATTACAAATCTGTCCCGAA